GGGTCCATTTTTCCCTCTAATTTTCAAAAATGTCCCGTCCCCCCAGCCAAAAAACCCCCCCAAACCCCCCCTAGTCCCCCTCCCCCCCCATGCATCGTGGTAGGTGCTATGCATTGAGGTAAGTGTCTTTCACCTTTCTTCTGCCGGACGTATAACCTACATTTTGAACCAAATATTTCAGACTTGGACTCATCCGTCCATAACACCTTTTTCCAATCATCAATCGTCCAGTTTTGTACTTTTTTACCAAATTTCAGTCTCTTGACAATATTTGGAAATCGAAGTAAAGGTTTTTTAACTGCTATACGACTAAATATTCCATTCTTGTTGAGTCTTCTTGATACTGTAAATCTAGACACTTTTCTGTCATTTGGTATATGATCATTTATCTCATACTTGAGATCAGTGGCAGTCTTCCTTCTGTCCCGAAGGCTGCATAAACGAAGATATTTAACATCAGTATCATTGAGTTTAGGTGTTCTGCTTCTTCTTTTCATATTTTCAAATTTACCTGTCTCGGTCTCACGATCTAGGGTGTTCTTGACAGTGTTTGGGGAGCGTTTCAATTCTGCAGCAATTTGTCGGAGAATCCAACCAACATCATCACGTAACGCTTTTATGCGAACTCTCTACTCTACCGACAATTCTTTATGCTTTTTTGGGCCATGGCATGACAAAAAACTTAATATATAGTGTTAAACATTGTTTTTATCAAGGTTCATTTATGGAGTGCTATTAAATTGATTTCTTCCAGCATATACCGGTACCATATGCTAGCTCCTTGCTAGCTTCTTTCTATATAATTAAGATACTGCATGGGGTACCATGACAATTATTTCAGACCCTAAATTTGATCAGTATGTTCATTCAAGCAGAACCACTATGACATGCCGTTGGTACAAGTATATGGGAATTCTAAAGAATGATAAGTATCCCCCACCCTGGCTCATTCAATTGTCAACAGGGATCAGTGAAGCATTACCATAGTTATGAAATTTACATTCTCTAATTGCATAGAAGAATTAGCCCCATAAAATGGAAAAAATGACAAAATATTCGCTTGTCCTAACACCTTTGCACAGTACTGTACATTTAATGGTGAATATTGTTATTATGCTGTAGATAAATTTATTTCTGCAATGGGCTTGAAACTAATCTACTGTAGTTTACTGTCCTCAGTTTTTATTGGAAAAGTCAGGCTTATGTCCTTGGTATTTCTCTACTTATTCATGTTTGTAAGATTTATTAAATTACTTAGTGAAAAAATAAGGTATTGAGGGAAAATTGGATTTATATTTTAATCTTTTGATTTGTCATTATAAATGCTGGTAGGCTAAAATTATTGCACAATTGTAAATTTATACAAGTTGAAAAAGGACCATTATGAATTGTATTAAAGTGTCCATGATGAGAAAATGCAATGGTAATGAAAACTTAGGTATGTACAGGGTAGAATAAGACGCATGTGTACTTACAGCAAATATTGACATACATTATGGTTTGCAGATTGGACAACGCCAGACTAATAAAATGGTGACACGTCTCATTTGTTTTTAATTATTTAAGTGTATGCACATAAAGTTGACTTATTTAAAACTTACAACTTTATTTGTACATGAAAGTTTATATAATTTGTAATTTTATAACTTGTCTATCATATTTTTCTGAAGTCAACATTAGTTAAATATTTCGATG